GGGGAGAGTGAGTGAGTGAGAAAGGGGGAGGCGCAGTAGGCTCGACGGCCGGAGGGTGGCGCTGCCGAGGCCTCCTTTTTTTCCCCTCCTCCAAGCGACTCCCGCGGTGGGGCAGGGGGTAACGTGGACCCGGGATCGAGTACTCCCCCTCTTCCCCTCCCTCGAGGAACAGGCCGGATGGAACGAAGGAAGAATCGAACGTTCTACCGCCTCCGCCCCCGTGTGTCGCTACGTTCGGTTTCAGAACCTTGCAGTCAGCAAAGTTCCAAATGGAGGGGGGGAGGCAGGGAGGGGGACGGCGCTCGCTCCCTTTACTGCCTGACAGAGCGCGCCCCCCTGTGGGCTGGGGCGCGCGCACGCGCTCTCTTTACCTTTGCAGGGTGCGTGCTTTCCCCAGTGGACAAAATGTGCTTGGACGGATCTCAAGTTTGCACCCTGGTCCTTGCCCGAGCAACGACTCTTCAGCTATCCCATCGCAAGCACTTTTTTTTTCACCATGTGTAGCCAGCGGTGGCGAGCTGGGGGGGGGGTAGGGAGGGGAGACGTAGGGATATTGCCGGTGGCAGTAAAGAGCGAAATCGTGAATCTGTTGTTCTGAGTTGACAGCTGTCTTGCAGTTGCAATTAAATTGATTTGGGAGGAATTAGCTGTTTCTGGGTCTCCCTCAATCTATCCACAAGATAGGAAGGGAGACTGTTGTTAAACTGATCTGATCCAGGGGAAAGAAACTAGTTCAGGTGGGTTAGTAGATTGCCCAACCTGCTGGAAAACAAACCTAGCCTCTGTATATACTGCTGGGCCAGAGTTAGCCAATTACGCTGCTGGGATGTGCCATGAAACAAAACCAAGCAACTAATTGAAAATGTCAGAACAATGCTGTAAGTGAGATGTCTTTCATGCTAATGTCAGATTTGGGAGATATTGATTGGGGAGTTCAGGAATAAACAAAGATAAGTTTATTGAATCAAACTCTTGTCAGGTTTGTCCAACCAGCACAATATTGTGGGTGGTAAGCCTAACGCCTGCTTCACCCAGTCAAGTCTGGCTGCCTCTCCACGCACAAAGGACGGTGTCTCCCTCATACCTTCCATCTCTGCCCCAAAGCAACTACAAAATACGCCCCCAGAATTGAAGCAAAAGATTGAAAACGGAGCTAAGGTTTCAGCAGCTTCATCACTCATCTGAAGGTGTCTCAGAAAAGCTGCTCCTATAGTCCTGTGCCACAGGACTGAACTTCAGCTCCTTTTTTAGATTATAGCAATTCAAAAAAAAAAAATTGTATACCTCCAGGAGTAGGCAGTGAAGGTTGCAGTGTGTAGATCTGATAAATAAAATAAGAATGTGTCTGTTTGCTAGGCCAAAGCAAGAGAGCCTGCCTACCTCACCCCACAGAATTAGCTCCTCATTTGCCACAACTTTTCCTAGGCTTCTGCCTGTTCCTCCTATATTATTTGTTAGATTTCATCTCTGCCTTTTCATTCAGGAGCCCAAGGAGGCATTAATAGTGCTCCCCGCTCCTTCCATTTTTTCTTTTCTGTAGAAAAATGAGAAGGTGGAACCTAAGTATTGCAGTCCAGGCTGACCTGCAATACCAACGAGGAATTCTTGCCTTGACTGGGGCTCCCACCTGATTTAAAATATGTTTGGGAAGAAGCAGGACGCTGCAGTGGAAATGAATGGTAGCATTGCTGGTTTTACTGTAGTTGGAAGACTGCACATCAGTGTTGGTTGGGAAGCTTATATATGCAGCTTGCAACTTTCTGGGGAAAAAAAAGTGTTGAAATGACTGGGCTGGAGGACAACGCCTATGGCTACTTTTCCTCAAGTCCCAGCTCATGAGCTCCTCTCTCAATTTGCCCTACAGATATCTCCTCCTCCAGGTTCCCACCCAGATCTGGCCCTGAAGTTCCTGGTATTGGGCAAAAGAGTATCCTTCCCTCTTCAGCATCCCTGTTGATTAAAGACTGGGTCCAATGGGAAGAACACTCAAGCCATGGGCAAATATTCCTAGTGGCAAGAATAATTCAGCAATACAACCACAGTCAATGCAGGGAAGCAATTCAACTGTTGGAGGGAAATGGGAAAGGGCCAGGGACAAATCTCCACTCAACCACAGAGCTTACTGGGAGTCCTTGAGCCAGTGGCACTTCCTGTCTGCCCAAGCTACCTCACAGGGCTGCTATGGGGAGGACACCCCCCCCCCATGTAAGCCTCCTTGAGATCCAGACAAAAAGGCAAGATGCAAATGAAATAAATACATTCCTTGCAAGGTGGTGGGATTCTCTAGGCTGGATACCTATAGATAGGCTGGATACTCATTTGATGGGATACTTCCGTCTGGATCCTGCGGTGAGGAGAGGGCTGGATTCAGTGACTTAAATAGCTCCTTCCAGCTCTACACAGTATACTTAATGGGGAGGGGGGCAGGAGAGATTAAGTGTTGTGTTTAAATCCTCTCTCCCTGTTAACTGCATAGCAACAAAAGTCCTACAGCACCCTTGCAAAACTAGCCCATGAGTTTTTAAAAAACATGTATTTTAAATATAATTCAGTTGAAAGTTTCACATTTTAATTTGAAAGGCTGTATCACCTTCCGACTGCAACCCCTTTTAGCTTACATTTAATGAATGTTATGACAGGATCGCAAGCACTGAAGCTGTAATGTGAGAGTATTGAGAATATGTTCCTTTTCCTGGAACCAGGCACTGGATTGAGAAAATGAGCTAAAGTGGGGTAAAACTGCCCCTGATGGCAAAAGGAGATTATTGCGGATAACTGCGGCCAAGAATCTCGTTCCCAGTTATCTACAAGCTAAAGTATTCCACTAAAGAATTGGGGGGACCTGTCTCTCTTTTTCATTTAATTACTAGCTATCTCACCCCTAGCAAGAAGGCTCTCCTCCCAATTAGGTTCATTCATGCTTCCATTCCATATATATATATATATATATGCATGCATGAGTGTGTGTCTGTGTGTGAGAGTGACCGATCTGTATCCTTCCGGATGTTATTGAAATACAGCAGTCCCAGCCAGTGTAATCAATGAGGAATAATGGGAACTGTGCTTAAACAATGTCTGAAAGACACCAAGTTCCTCATTGCAGCTGCTTAAAGTGAAAGTACCCAGGAATGCAGTTGCACATCCTCAACCAATATACTGTAGCTGAATGCTCAGTGTGAACCGAGGCTGTGTATTTATAGGGCTTATAGGCTTATACATGTATAGGCACAGATCCTGGTTCATACCAAGCTTCCAACATGTGAGTTAGAAGGTGGTGGGGCAGTCATGTATCCCTCATGCTTTGTGAATTCAAATCTTGTGTATACCATTTCCAAGATATTCCAGCCACTCACCCTTGCTGATGCTGTAGGCATTTACTCTCTGACATAGTTCACACTTAACTGTGCCCGTTGAAGTCCTACCAACTGCGTGCTCACAATATGCTAAGCTTGACTAGTTTTAATCGTGTTTGCTGTGTGTATCTGGTTTAGCATGTCATATGAACCCAGCTTCTTTGGGAGGTTTATAGCTCAATTTATTGTGTGAACCCAGATATTGGGTTAATTCAGGATGTGGATGGTTTTATTTATTTATTTAATTCGATCTAGACACTGCCTGACTCCAACTGAGTGGTTTATAAATAATAAGATAAAAACCAATACAGTTTGCTCTAAGAATCCAGCTAATCTGTTTTTCTGCACCCATAAGAGATAACAAATCTTGTGTGTTTTAAATGAAGCCTTAATCATTTCAGCAGTTGTTGGTCTTTTCATGTTAGTCTCTGTCTATAAATAGATCAAGGACTGAAAAGAACTCAAAGGTTGTTAGCACAGGGCAGCAGATTGTCTTATAAAATTGCACTGTGAAGCAGATCATAATTATTAACATCATCCTTTTTCCCAGGATCAACTTCAGGAACTGGTTTCTTTGGGCAGCTGCCAAGAGCCTACTTCTACAAGGGGGCTCGCCTGTCAACACAGAATCTTCTTGTGTGACTTGTCCTTCCAGCTGGCTTGCTCTGAGCAAGTAAGCAGCTGTAGGAGCAAATAAGAGAATTATCAGCCTCCATCTGACATACCCTCCTCTAGCTGGCCATGCAACTTTGGCATTTGACCGCAAGGAGGGTTCATAGCTCTTGCCTTGTAAGGGTTCAGTCCCAGATTCAGTCCAAGAATGACTGGGTAAAGCTGGAATCTTGGAAACTGTGGTGCAAACAGTACTGAGCTAGATCAGCCAGTGGTCTACTTTAGGATAAGGACTCTTCCTTTGTTCCTAAGAGAAAATGTAGTGGAGCAGGAGCAAAAGCTGTAAAGAGGAGGTGAACAATGAGGAAAAGTGATCCACCAAAGCCATCTTGCAAAAACATCTAGCCTCATGAGACTCAATGAAATTTCAACTCAGGGCTTTGTATACCAAGCTTAGATTTTAACCCAAGCCTCTTATATCTAATGATGGTGGTGTTCTAAAGTCAATTAAGATGAATGAAATATTAATTTTGATAATGAAGTAATGGGAAATTGCTAGCCTTACAAAAGTATGGCTAATCAATTATGGAGCAATAAGGAAATGTGCAGTTTTTGCTGGGTGGTAGTAGGAATCACAAAATGCCACCAAGAGAATTGTGCTATTAGTCATGATGGAAAATTGTTTCCTTCCTTTCTAAGTCATGCATTCAGCATTCTGATTATCATGGCTTTGATATACAATGTAGCCTGATAATAAGCATCTTTAGCAATCTATCTGTTTGAAAAAGTGCATGACAATATTTGGAATTGTCTCTGTTTTCTCTGTTACTCTTTGTGTATCTTCTTCTTATCTTCTATAAAATAGATAGCTTCAGATACCTACAAATGTACCATTACAGGTCAACATGTATGGCCAGTAGTAGAGCTTTAGTGTTCCAGCTGTGCTAGAGGCATCCACAGGGGGCAGCGGGTGGCAAACGATTCCCTTTATATCTTTGTAGGC